CCAAATGACGTCACAGCGCGAGGTGCACAGTTAATTCGCACGGGTTGTACGTAGAAGTATCGTTTTTATTTAAAAGTATGTTTAATTGTTAACAGGCTCCATTCGACGGTACCCGATCAATCTGTCATGCCTGTTGGCATCGAATTGACTCGGATATCAGAAATCAACATCGATCACCTTCACCTGCTATTCTACCTGCTGTTGGAGCATCGGTGAATGTCCCTCAGTTTACCCGAGTGGCTAATACCTCCCGGCACTGCATGATGACCAGATGCAACAACTTACAACTACGCCGTGTTCCAAACTCTATCAAAGTATATCTTCTCATTTATTTTGGATTATATATTCCTGACCGGGCCCGCATTTGTCAACTACATTTGCAAAACACTTATTTGGAGGAATTTCCAGAAATCACGGCTCATCAACATACTGATTTTAATGCTGATAGCTTCGTTGACGTGGTCAATATGTATACACGGGCTCTAGAATCGAGATCTCGACTAGATCTTGACAATATAAACGAGGTTTCTGAGGACGATCTGCGCTACTGGACTGGTCTGAATCACTCACAATTTGAACAATTATTTCAACAAGTTCCATCTCTTCATCATCAGTCTGTCACCCCAAGAACAGATTTAGGAGTATATTTATGTAAAATACGCACAGGGGAGCCCAATACACGACTTTGTACAACATTCGGTTTAGCAGAGACCACCTTAAGAAGAAAGCTGCATTTGGCGAGGGAGTGTCTGCTCGCAGACTTCGTTCCTGTGCATATAGGGCTAGACCACATAACACGCACTAAAGTGATTAGTAGAAACAGGATTTTACCTAATTATATATTTGGAAGCAATGCATCGCCGAAAGCATTAATTATATGCGATGGCACGTATTTATTTGTTGAAAAAAGTTCAAACTTTTTATTTCAACGCGTAAGTTACAGCTTACATAAATACCGTAACTTGATTAAGCCATTCTTAATAGTATATGCTGATGGCCACATATTAGATGTAATAGGGCCATATGCTGCTACAACCACTGATGCGGCAATTATGAACCAAATACTGCAAAATCATGACCAACCTATAGAAGACAACACCTTTCATTACTTCCTTGAAGAGGGAGACGTTTTAATTTTAGACAGGGGGTTTCGTGATGAAATAGTATCATTGGAAGAGCATGGCTATGTGGCTTACTTGCCACCATCTAAGCAACGAAATGAAACTCAACTCACTACAGAAGAGGCCAACAAATCACGACTAATAACCATGTGTCGTTGGGTTGTAGAAACTGTGAATGGCAAGTTTAAAAATAGCTTTAAAATCTTCCGCAACAGAATGTTCAACAATACCTTGACGAAAACATTCACAGATTTCAAAATAGCAGCGGCTTTCATAAACTGCTTTCAGGAGCCTTACGAAGACAGTAGATTTACTGATAATTTTATTGCATCAATAAACCGCAACATACATAAAACAAATCTGTTGACCGCGTATATTTTAGAAAACAACTTGAACAGGCAAAGAGCATCATTTACTAGACTGGACGCAAATAATCCAGAAGTATCAGATTTTCCGGAGCTGACGTACGAAGATCTGATAAAATTCGCTATAGGCACATATCACCTCAAAATAGCACGTTCGTACTGCAGCGAACACACGAAGAGAACTGGCGTATATGAAATCGAGGTTTACAGACACTCAGAACAAATAGATATAATAAATGATCGAGTTATAAGGTCACAGTCGCATACAAACAACGTACTGATTCGCTGCAGAATTAATTCACGTCATGTCAGATCAGAAACTTATTATATCTATTTGTTATTTAATACTGCGGTTTTTGGAATCGAGGCAGTGAAAGAACATTACTGTTCCTGTTATCACGGGAACAGAACACTGGGAAGTTGCGCCCATGTAATAAGCGTCATGTACTATTTGGGTTGGGCTAGACACAACGAACGTGATTTAGACCACCCAGCTCTAGGCTTAGATTTTGTATTAGTTGATTTAGAAAACTAAGTCCATCAAACATATATTCTGTCGAGAAAATGAAAATATATATTATTTTATAACCGTACTGTGTTTTATTTTACACATAGTTTCGAACATCTAATTTATTTTTTCATAGTTTACAGTACAGTACATACATGCTTATATGCCATAATGACTAATTACAAGATTAATGAACTAAAAATGACGACGTTACTCTAAAAAATATAATTTTACAAAGAGCCCCTATTAGCATTTAGCAATATTGAAACTATAATATTTTTGCTATTTTTACTCTAAAAATTGAGTTACATTATTTTGGCGCCGGGTCTGGGGTAATTTTGTATGGGATTTGGCGGATCTCCTTTAGGTATGAAGGGACACTTATTCATACTTCATACCTAAGATTAGTATTCATTTTTGTACGGAACCAGCAAGCCGCCGTCACCTCGAACAACCATTTCGTGGTTGTTCAGTCCGCACTCCCCTTTTTCGTACTTTTTAAACAAAGAATTGCAGTCTACATCCGTATCACGAACTTCAGACTTATTTCAGAGCAAGTCCGCCAAACTCCAAGCGCTTATTAAAAAAGGGAAAATTATCGGAAGCATCGAAGCTATCAAGAAGCGGAGCGCACGTCGAGCAAAAGCGAGAAATGCTCGGAAGCTGGCCGAATCCGCCGCGGAACATCAAAACCTGAACTCTATCAACAACGCCAGATCAGCCGAGTTATCCTTTAATAACGCCCACCAGATGCCACGTACTCATTTCACGTTGCAGCAGCACGCACATCTTCAGCACGATATTGGACGTGCGCCATTTTAGTGGCGCGGTGAAATGCGGATTACACCTTTACAAACTTCACTACTGATTAGTAAGGTACTTCTTAGTAGTATGATCTTCGATTAGTCATCTAATATGTCAACTATTTTATTATTTTGCGTTGAACTGAAAAAGTAATTTATGTTAGTGTTTTAATCGATATTTTGACAGCAATAGTTTAATGTAAATTTTATTTAAATGACTCTTGTTATCCTGCTCCATTTTAATAAATTTATAGCAATGTACGATCATGATCGCACGCTGAATCTTACACTGTCATTGTTGCCCTAATATATCGTAACTAGTTACTATATTATTGTTAATAAAATACATTATTCACTATTTTAGACTTTCATTTTGAGAAATCTCGTAGCTGGTTTAATTAGGCCCAGGTATGCATGTTAGATGGACATATAATCGAACGCCATTTTCTAGAAATGATCTATTAATAACATTACTTTCTTTAACTGCCTCTGTGGCCGAACGGTTACCATGGCGGACTGCCACGCAGAGGTCCCAGGTTCGATTCCCGGGCCGGGACAAATATTTGTATGGCCTACATTTATTTCTCTCGTGGCACCCGCAACACAGGGTTTCCCTAGTGCGGGACTATGTTGAGTGTGTGCGTTATTATTATTATTTTTTTATTGTAATATCAAGTGACGCGACGAACAAGTCGCGCGACTGGTGGTGAGCTATACGCCTATCCATAACAGTTGCAGCAGTGGTCTCGAAAGTGAAAATGCGAAATCGGTATTACTTGGCAACGATTTGTTTACCGAGTTTTGGTAAACAAATGGACCAAAAATCGGTAAATAAAAAAAAACGATAAATTGAACAAATATCTCCATTGAACAAATCACTAATGATATTATTAAAATTAACAGTTAGGCGGGCTTACCTACCATTTTGATTGAGAGAACATCAAACTAACAACCAACCACTTCAATCAAATTTAAGAAAATGAATGGAGAAAAGGAATCCGAATTCTTATTTGTATAGACTACAAATTTGCTCAGGGTATCCCCAAAAATGGTAAGTTTTTGAACACTAGAGTATTCCCCAAATAAACAACTTTAAAATAAAACAAAAAGAAAATACAAACTCAATCATATTATATTCAATCACATTTAGTACAATCTACAATGAACTGTACAAATTACTTGAAGTTTTAAGTTCAGTGACATTTTTTTACATCAATTAAAACTGTAAAATGCCTACAGAGCGACACAGGCTCTTGTTAAAGGAATTTGCATACATGTTTCTTTTGTAAAGTATGTTGTATGTACAGTCAACAGCACATCAAGCTACACATTGACGTATATTGTTCCGTTTCACTGGAGGCGATTTTCGAACCAAAATGGTAGTCTGATGTGCTGTTGTCCGTACTAGTTGTAAACCCATGAAGATTTGTGTAAAGTATTAGATGCGAGTAAGTACGTACTCGTAGTGTACTTCCGAGTGCGTAGTAGCTGTTGGAATGTAGTAAGAAAACAGAGTGGATGTATACAGCACGATTTTTCACGGCATGGTACAGCTGGCGTGTGGCCAGCAAGTACAACAAAATAGAAGTAGAAATGCAGTTAGTCGGGTGCAACTGCATCCTGCTAATACAACTGCATTCATATTTTCACGTGTTTTACAACTTTTTTTTTTACACAAATTTAGTGGTCTTATTTACTTATAATTTACTTTTTTACATATTTATGAATGATTTGATAAAATTACTGATAATAATATAACCTAAAACGTGGTATGTAAATTATTAAATGCGCACTGGATTAGTAATTTTTACATTGTTTGAATAATTTGCTTTCAAATTGTTTAAACAATGTATATGAAAATTGTTTGAACAATTCATTTTCATATTATTCGAACAATTTATTTGCAAATTGTTTGAGCAATTTCTTTAAAAAACACGTCCCAAACGGAAACGCATCACGTGCACATGTTAATTATTATACAAAGTATATATAATTTTATATGTTTTAAAATGGATCATTATATCATTAGATGTATTATTTTACAAAATCACAGTCAATGCGGTACATATTCCGCTAGGTAGTTTTAAGCTAAGAAATAATGGACGATAGGTACATTTAAAAAGAAACAAATGAAATTAAAGAAATTCGTTAACCTCTAAAATCTCACTTTCACAGTTGTGAAGATAGTTACCGTCTAATACATCAAATAAGTAGACTGCCCATTCAGCCGCTTACAACATTAATGACCGTAACTTCAATTTCGACGTAAATGAGAATAACAAAACACAAACAAAATACTATTCATGTTTTTCGTTCAAAAATGTAAGTTACATTCATTCGTGATTGATTACGAAGGAGATTTACCATGCCGAAATGTATTTTGATGAAATTTTTGCATTTCTTTTGACGTCAAGTCCTCCGTTACGTTAAAATGGGACCATTGTAAATTTTATTTTCGTTACGTT